TGGCCCACACCCCGTGCTGCCACTCATGGAGACCGCCTGAACTCCAGACCCCCCACCCGTCTGGCCTCACGTTATCACCGACCCCAAATGCAGGAACACAAATCTGCCCATGAGGACAGGCTGGGAGCAACCCTAACACAGCACTGTTGTCTGAGTGCATTCCCCGAGTAGCGCATGCTGAGGTTGCTCTTACAGGGGGGCTGAGATTGTTCTGGAACAGGGGCTTCCCTGAGGGAGCAGGACCTGCATCTGTCACACTCTGTCAGTCTGAGCCATATGCCTCTTCCTGGGCCCTGGGTAGCTAAGACAGCGATGGACACCACAAACAGGCCATGCCACAGGGTGACAGTGTGCCAGAGCCACAGAGGTGGCTGCAGCTGGGCGGAGGGATGGGGGCTGACCCCACTATATAGGTTTCTGAAGATCTGGCTTGTCCATCCAAGCCAGGTCTGAAGAAACCCTCCAAACCCATCCTTCCCTTGGGCTCGCTAGTGGTCATACATGCCCTAGGCTGCTACCCCTGTTGGATGCTGAGGGCTACCTTAAGCTCCTCCCTGTCCTCAGCCAGAAGTCTAGACAAAGTTGCCACCTGAGGGAGCCCAGCCTGGCACTTCTCACACCTCCACAGATGCTCGCTTTCTCCAAGCCTCCCATCTCTCTCACTGGGTGATGGCAAGTCCCCTGTAGTCTTCCCTCTCACCCTGCTGCCCCTCTTCAGTTCTCTCTCCATTCAGCAGCCAGAGTGACCTTTCTAGAAGGGAGATCTGATCCTTGGCACTGCCCTGCCCAAAACCTCCTAGAGACTCCACACTGTGCCTCACCTCTGACGACAGCCTACAACGCCTGCCTATCCTGGTGGGTATGTGATTTGGGTGGGGACATGAGTGCATGCCACCTGTGGGTACAGCAGAGACCTGGGGCAGGAAGTCAAGTAAACACGTCTCACAGGAACACCCGTCTCATGAGCTCAGTGGGAACAGAGTTGTCAACTGGTCCATGTACCTGAAGCCATCAAGTTGGAGGGGAAGCCCCAATGGAATGCAGGTGCAGGCACACATAGGAAACAGGAGGAGGAAGATTCTGGAACAAGGACATGGGCTGCAGGGTCAGCAGAAACCTATGACCAGTGAAGGAAGAAGCCGCCGGATGGTGGGGGTTGCAGGATCATAGAGCCCTTACCCAGGACAGCTGCAGTGGCGGGTATATGCACCAATGCATGCAAAAAGCCTCACTGAAGGGGACCGAGGAGGGGCCAGAGTGCCAACTGCAAGGGCTGACCTTAAGAGCAGGCTTCTTGGCAATGCATCAGCCACTCAGGGATAACCCTGAGGTCCTAATCACCCCCACTCCCCCACGTTCCTGTCCACTCCTGAGAGCAGCGTGGGGTGGGGCCTTTCTTCAGAGGGACTGAGGAGGCAGCCACGTGGCCCTGGGCCTCTCGGCTTCCAAGGGAAGCAGCAACTTGGGAACCTGGCTGGGTCTGAAGATGGTTCCACCCTTAGACTCTGAGGGTGGGGGCAGGGTAGGGAGAGAATTGAGGCCCACAGAATCCCTCGGCCAGGGCCTGCCACATCCTGCTGCTTGGGTGAGGGGCTCCCACAGCAGTTCTTTCTCCTGCCTTGCACTGCAGAAGAGGACTGGTGTTTCCCCTGGGACACCGCCGGGGCTCTGGGCCCCATCTGCACTTCTGTGCTGGCAAATGCAAAAGAATTAGCTCAGCAACTTCCTCCCCTAATCCCCCACCCCCACTCTAAATACCTTGGAATCAAGAGAAAAGCCGAGTGGACGTTTTGAGCCTAATTCTCTTCAGCTGTGAGTGCGTGTGTGCGTGCGTGCTCTCGGTGCACAGGCTTGCAAGGGAACCTTTTGAACCCCAAAGAGTAAAGCTGGAAGGAGTGCAAGGAACGCTAACTCAGCCCCTACCATGTACAGATGAGGCAAACCAGACGCAGGAGGAGAATGGGACCTGCCCTCTGTCACATGGGGAGCTCAGGGAGTGGCCACCAGGTACCCAGGCTTTCTCACACCCACCCCTGCAGCCTTGAGTCCCAAGAAGGTGACAAGGTACAGGCGCCAAATCTCAAAGCCTTCCACAACCTACAGAACAATTCAGAAAGGGAGCTGGCTGTGACTGCAGCCCCCTCCCAGAATTCTGCCATGGTGCCCAAGGCCAGCCCCGGGCTCACCTCCCAGCCTGCCTGGCAGCCCCCATCTGCCTCTGGGGCTGGCCTGGAGTCTGCCCAGCTTCGCATGCTTCTCTAGCCAATTCCCACGTGTCTCTTGTCGCCCGACGAGACAACAAACCCTTCTTAGTCTCGGCCTGTTTTCCTCTCCACTCTTCCCCCAAAGGAATAGAGGAGGCGGGAGTGGGGGCACACAACAGGTGCGCTGGGCTGGCAGGCGGCGCTGGCTGATTGACGGCACCCCGTGTGTGGCGAGGGGGTGAGGAGCAGAGGACACAGGACTCAGAACTGTCCTTCCTGACCAAGTCTGGTGAGCTGGTCACAAACAATAGTGACAGGCTCCTTGGCCTGGCAACCCCACTGCTAAGAGTAAACTCAGGGAGACTTCACGAAAGCACACAAGGTGAAGTGCCCATGGAATATCACAGTGGGGGAAGTTTGTCAGGGAAAAATCCAAGCGCCCAGGAACTTGGGGTCTGAGGTTCCAGGGTTAGGTAGAGGGTGGAGGCAAGCCCAGAACATGAAAATCTATATGAACAAATCAACTACTTGTAAGATGTATCCCCATCCAGGCCCACAATTAGAACCCACAGTTTTGTTAAGTGTAAGACCAAATAAGCTCAATTTTCATGATTTTACAAATCAGTTTTCAAGATAAAAATCCTAACCAACACCCTTTGTCACTCTTTAGTAGGAGGGTGGACATCGTTTTAAGTGAAATTGATTTAGGGAGCTTTTCAGCCTATGCTTAACATCCTTGGATAAAACAAAAACAAAGGTTGGAAGACAGCTCTGTGTCCAAGAGTGAGGACTGAAGGAGTCTACCAGGGTACCTCCATCTGATGCAGCTAACAAAGGCCCAAAGAAAAATGGCCACATTTTGAAAATCTGTCTTTCCTACCAGAATGTAAACCCCACATGAGTAGGACTTTTATTCTGGTGAAATCTGTGAAATGACTCTGAAGACCTGGGCTTCTGCTCCCCTGACCTCCTGGGGAGGTAGAAATGGACATGCAGGGAGGGTGACCAGGGGAGGATTCTGCCCTCCTGAGGAAGGCTGAGGAAGGCTGAGGAAGGCCAGAGGAGGCCTGGGGGCCACAGTGAGGCTGGAATGGAGCTGTACCCCAAGCAGCAAGAAGGAGCAGGACAGGCGCCTGAGGCCACGCTCAACTCAACATTCCTGGCCCTGTCTTCCCACATAATCTCTCTCCTTTCCCATCTCAACAGCTCCAAGAGGCTGTCAGCATCACCTCCATCCTACAGGCGGGGAAATGAGACTTCTAGGTATCTCTGCATTGCAGAGTCCAGGCCAGGGTCAGGACTTCAGCCACTCCCTGCCCTTTTTGGTCAGGGGCAGAGAATAATAGTGGTCACCAACTGGGAGTCATGATCTTCTGGATGTCAAGAGGGAGGCTGGGTACAGAGGAAGCAGGCAGACAGGCAGCTGAGAATCTGTCCTGAGGAGGCAGGAAGGTGGGAAAGCCACTTGGGAGCTGAAGTTCCAAGCTCCATTTTCCCCTCAGACGTCACTTCTAAAACCACAAGTTCAAAGATAACTATCAAGAATTTCAAGACAGTGACAGTATAGCATGAAACTCTGAGTCTGGGGCGCACCTGAGCACTGGTTCTGAGTGATGGCGCTGGTTGCATAGCTGCCTCTGGGACAGGCAGATGACAAAAACCTCCCAGCTAGGTGGTGAGGCTGGGATGTGCCCTCTGATCAAACACACGAACTCCCTGGGCCAGTGTGAAGTGACAGGCGCCCAGGGAACATGTCACCTGTGCCCAGCCTGCCTGTGGGCTGAGCAGGAGGCAGGGAGTGGACTCATCTGGGCGTCCTTGCTGAAGGCCAGAAAGGAATCTCTTGCTGCCTGAAAAAATGACACCATTTTCTCTTTTACTTCTGGGCTGAAGAACAACAAAACCCCCAACCCAGTCACCCTTGGAGAGAGATTCCTGGCTCTCCCGTAGACATATATTTTCGGCAGAGGCGGTGAAGATGAATGGCCTCCTTGCGTGCCTGGGTGGGGGGACGGCTGGCTCGCTTGGCTGGCTCCAGCCTCCCCCTTCGTCCTGTGTTTGAGGTCAACCCTGGGTTGGGGTTGTAACAACTTTCAAGAACATACCCGGAGTCCTGCATTCCAACAGTGTTTTTGCAGTCCACATGGAAGGCCCAACTGCCCCCAGCCTTGCCAGGGAAGCCTCAGGGTGTGAGCTTCCAGAAGGGGCTTTTGTGACCCAGGCTTTTGTCCCCAGGGTTTATGGCAACGCTTGGCATTCAGAAGGCGCGCGCCAGAGGCGCAGAGGGAACGGACAAGGGGAGGCGACGGCAGACACGGTCAAGTGTCAGGCCCGGGTGGGGGATGGGAGGTGGGCAGGGCAGGCCCGGCGGGGCGCTGGCAGGTGCGGGGCGCTAGGCGCTGCCCTTTGCTAGGTGGGTGGCCCAGCATGTTCTGGCCACCTCTGCCACTCACCCCCGAAGGTCCCAGGTCCTCAGGGGTGAGCAGCAGACACGGGTGTCCCAGGCACAGTAGTGGGGGCTTCAGAACATCCTGATCCCCTGCACGGACCGGCTGCCAGGGGGGAAAACGCCTCCCGCACCCGGTGCCACCCACCTAGCATCGAAAGGGGACCTTGCCCCGATTCGAGGGTCGCTGCAGCGGCGCCAGTGGAGGGGCTGGCCTCGGGCGTGGCCTACACGCCCACAGGCCTCCACACCGAGAGCCCACAGCAGTGTCGGGGTGCGGCCGCTGTCCTCACGCGGTCACCCCAGGGTGGTGAACACATCAGGCAGAGAACTAGCCTGTGTCTCCGGCTCACCACGGCAATGCCAACGCTGAGGTTGGTGCTGGCCCCTGCCCCAGCCCCCTGCGGTGCGCAGGACGGCGGGTGGGGGCAGGGAGGGCGGTGGCTCGCGCCACCTCACACCCAGCCAGTGCCTCACGTGGCACCCGACCTGCTGGGCCAATCTGAGCCCGGGTGGCATCAAAACCATACCCTTTCGGCCAATGACAGGACACGGCACATCACTTTCCGCGCCCAGCCAATCCGTGCAGCAGCCCGCCGCAAGCCTTCCCCTGCTGCTGCCCAATCAGCAGGTGGGGGGCGGTTGCCACGTCAGCTGTGGTGGGGGTAGTCGGAGCGCCGCTGCAGTCTCCAGGCAGAACAGTCGCCGCGTCGCCTCAGTACGGACTTCCAGGGAGCTCCTCAGCAAGATCCTGCCAGGGCTCCCTCAGCGTGGCTCTCCCCGGGGCTCCTCAGCGCATTTCTCCCGGTGCGCCCCTCAGCGCGGTCCTCCCTGGTGCGTCCGTCATCGTGGTTCTCCCTAGGGCTCTTCAGCGCGGTTCTCCTCGGGGCTCCTCAGCGCGGCGCTCTTCCAGGGGCTCCTCAGCGTGGTTCTCCCCCGGGGTTCCTCGGCGCGGTTCTCCCCTGGGCACCGGGGGCTTTTCGGCGCGTTTCTACCCGGGGCACCCGGGGCTTTTCGGTGCGGTTCTCCCCTGGGCAGCCGGGGCTTTTCGGCGCGGTTCTCTCTCGGGGACTCCTCCACGCGGTTCTCCCTGGGGTTCCTCAGCGCAACTGTCTCCTGACGGCTCCTCAGAGCGATTCTCCCTGGCGGCTCCTCAGCGCAGTTCTCTCTCGGGGGCTCCTCAGCGCGGTTCTCTCCCGGCGGCTCCTCAGCGCGGTTCTCTCCCGGCGGCTCCTCAGCGCGGTTCTCTCTCGGGCTCTCCTCAGCGCGGTTCTCTCTCGGGCGCTCCTCAGCGCGGTTCTCCTTGGCGGCTCTTCGGCGCGGTTGTGTCTCGGGGGCTCCTCGGCGCGATTCTTCTCGGCGGCTCCTTAGCGCATTTCTCTCTCGGGGGCTCCTCAGCGCGGTTCTCCCTGTCGGCTCCTCACCGCGGTTCTCTCTCGGGGTCTCCTCACCGCGGTTCTCTCTCAGGGGCTCCTCACCGCGGTTCTCTCTCGGGGGCTCCTCAGCGCGACTCTCTCCCAGGGGCTCCTCACCGCGGTTCTCTCTCGGGCGTTCCTCATTGGGGTTCTCCCTGGCGGCTCCTCAGCACGGTTCCCTCTCGGGGGCTCCTCGGCGCGGTTCTCCGCTGCGGCTCCTCACCGCGGTTCTCTCTAGGGGTCTCCTCAGCGGGGTTCTCCCTGGCGGCTCCTCAGCGCAGTTCCCTCTCGGGGGCTTCTCGGCGCGGTTCTCTCTCAGGGGCTCTTCGGCACCATTCTCCGCGGCGGCTCCTCACCGTGGTTCTCTCTAGGGGTCTCCTCAGCGCGGTTCTCCCTGGTGACTCCTCGGCGCGGTTTTCCCTCGGGCGCTCCTCAGCGCGGTTCTCCCCGGCGGCTCCTCAGCGCGGTTCTCTCGCGGGGGCTCCTCGGCGCCATTCTCCGCGGCGGCTCCTCCCCGCGGTTCTCTCTAGGGGTCTCCTCAGCGGGGTTCTCCCCGGCGGCTCCTCAGCGCGGTTCTCTCTCGGGGTCACCTTAGCGCGGTTCTCCCCGGCGGCTGCTCAGCGCGGTTCTCCCCGGCGGCTGCTCAGCGCGGTTCTCTCTCGGGGTCTCCTCAGCACGGTTCTCCGCGACGGCTCCTCAGCGCGGTGCTCTTCCGGGGGCTCCTCAGCGCGGCCCTCCCCATCTCCCTGGGAGGGTCAGAACACGGTCACCACGGAACTGGGCGGACGGCGCGGGACGGGTGATCACTGACGTTGCTGAGGTGAGCTGTGTGCCCCGCGGCCGTCCCAGATCACAGGCGTCAGCAGTGCAGCCTGGCCTGGGCAGTGCGCTCCCCTCCGCACCTTATGGACAGCGTGGCCAGGGTCGGCGTCCGAGTTCCCGGCCGCATCCCAGGGATCGGATTCCGGGTCTATAGTTCGCGTGGTGGTTCAGAGTTGGCTGAATTGGGATTGGAGTCTGGAATCCGCATCGTGTTTCTGAGTCTGCGCTACTGGGACGGAAGTTGGGAATCCATGTTGTGGTTTTGAGTCAAAGCCCGAATTGGGACCGGAGTCGGAAATCCACTTAGTGGTTCTGAGTCAGGGCCCGAATTAGGATCGGAGTTGGGAATCCCCGTTGTGGTTCTGAGTTAGGTATCCTAGTTGGAATCAGAATTCGGGTCTAGGATCCACATCCTGACTGGGAGTTTGCCTGAGTTGGGATCTGAGTAGTTGGGGTCCGAGTCAGTCCAGGTCTGGAGTCCGCATAGTGGTTTTAGGTTGGGCCTCATTAGGAACAGAGGATCAGGAGTCTGAGTTGGGGACCTGAATCCCGTTCTGGAGTCTGCATCATGTCTCTGAGTGTAGATCCAAGGGAGGTCCGAGTTGGCGACTGGAGTCAGGGTCTGGAGTCTGCCTTTGGGTAGAGGTTCTGAATAGGGGGGTCTGAGTTAAGAGATTGGGGCTAGAGGTCTGAGTTGGGTATTGGAGTCAGGAATTGAAGTTGAAGTTCTGCGTCTAGGTGGGGATTCTGAGTCAGGAATTAGGGGGCGAAGTAAAGATTGCAGTCTGAGTTGGGGGTGGTGATCACCTGCCAGGTGAGAGGCAGTGGTAGAAGTCTTGGTCATATTGGGGATGAGAGTCGATTGGATGGAGGTCTCAGTCTGGGTAGTAGGCTTGAAGGGCCATCACTGCGTTCAGATCCCAGTGCCCCACTGTGGTCCCTGAGCAGGTCAAATAGCCTTATAAAATTGGGGGTAAGAGTGCCTTCCCACAGAACTGTTCTGGGTATGAAAGTTCTGTCTTAGATTATCACAACGTATAAAAACTTTCCTGATAATATCCACATTTGATGTGCATTTACCAGTTCTTTCTATATTGTGGTGCCCCTCTTGCTAGACCAAAAGCTCCCAGGGAGGAACTCTGTTTTGTTTTCTGCTGCCTGCCCTGTACCCAGCCAAGAGCCTGATACACAGCCTTGCTCAGTCAGTACTTGAAGGAAAGCAGGCAGGCAGGATTAACCAGATTTCTATGGTGTCTCAAATGATCCATTTCTGCACCTGTTTTCCAGATACTCACTAGGAGAAAAATTTAAGGATTGAGTTGCTTGATTATGGTTGTATTTTAATGTGTTTCCTAACATGCTGAGGAGAAAAGTGGGTCTGTTTCAGGATTTATGCTCCAGCTAGAGGGATCTTTTTAAATTGCGAATCAGAGCATGTCCAAATTCAGATAGAGAGCACAGGAAAACTATAAAGAATTTCCCTTATGAATGTAGATGCAGAAGTTCCGTGTACAACGTTAGCTAACCAAATCCAGTAATATATATTAAACAATTCTTAAACAAGTGGGATTTCTCTTAGGAATGCAAAGATGATCCAATATCAGAAACTTTATCCATATAATTCACATTAAAAGGCTACAGGAGAAAAACCATATGGTTCTCTCAATAGAGGCTGAAAAAATGATGTGATAAAGTTTAACGCCTGTGTGTGATTTGGGGATAGTGGAGGACACCACTTAGCAAGCCCGGACTAGAGAGGAACTTCTTCAACTTGATACAAGTTATAAACCAAAACTTAACTTTTCAGTAAACTTGATAGAGAAATTAAAAATATGTAATTCTCTTTAAGATAAGGAGTAGGCCAAGGATGTCATCTTGGCTATACCCTAATACAAGAAAACGAAATGGAGATGTGAGGATCAGATAGGAAGTCATAAAACTTAGTGTAGCTCATAGGATTGATGGTCTCCATAAAGGTTCTCAAACATTTTGGTGTTACGACCCGTTGTGTTCTTAAAAATTACTGAAACCCCTAAAGGGCTTTTCTTGATAGAGATTCTATCTATTGATGGTTACCATCTTAGAAGTTAAAACTAAGAAATGTTTAAAGCAGAACTATACAAGCACATATTCCAGTGGGGTCATGGTGTGCTGCCTCTGGAAAACCCTTTATCTTTGTGAGAATGAAAGAAACGGCAAATAATGTCTAAGTATTATTATGAAAATGTTTCTGACCTTTCCTGAAAGGGTCTGGGGGGCTCTCTGGAATCCCCAGACTACACTTTGAAAATGACTGGGCTACATGGAAAAAAAAATTAAGAAACTTACAACTAAAGAGAGATTTCAAATTTCAGAGAGGTTTTAGATATAAGATCAGTGTACTCAAAACAAAAAACAAAAACAAACCACATTTCTTTATGCTAAACAAAAGCATAATAGAGATTAAGACAGCAATCAGAATAGCAACAAAATTTATACCAGTCTAGGAATTAACAAAGATGATGACTTTTATGGAAAAAAATTCTAAAACTCTATTGGAGGGATATAGAGGGAGATCTTTCCATATGCAGAGACATTTTATTTTCTTGAATGGGGCAACTTAGCATTAGAATGATGTCAGGATTTTCCAAATCTGTAAGTTCAATAGGACTCCACTCCAACTTCCAGTTGGAGGGCTTGAGTAATTTAACAAACATATTCTAAAATGTATGTGGAAGAAAAATATTTGTAAATGCCAACTGAACTTTTAAAAAGGAGAGCAGAGGACTTCTGCTGGCAGATACCAGGGCACACGCCAAGCTTCAGCAATCAGAGCAGTGTAGTGACAGAGGCCCAGAAGAGAGCTCAGAGGTAACTCCAAGTCTAGAGGAAGGGGACATGTGATAAAGGTGGCACCACATATCAATGGGGACTGTTCAGAAGATGATGTTGGAAGGCCAGCCCTAAAATGGAGGAATAGGAATATGGATTCCTAACTGAACCCCTAGGAAAAGTAGGCTCCAAATGGACTAAAGATTTGAAAGCAAAAGGTAGTTGCCATTTGTTTAATAGGAGAAAAAAATGAATAATCTCCAGGGCCAGGGTGGCCATGGGGTTATTAAACAGGATCCAGAAAGCACAAACCTCAAGACTAAAACGTATGCATTTGAATACATTAATGATTATGGATTAAGGATTTCTGTTAAGTAAGTCCATCATGGCAATGGTCAGGACTGTTTTCATAATAATACTAAGGAAATGATTTGCCTTTTTCACTTTTACACTCATGAATGTAACTGTGCCATGACTAGTTACAAGGTATTTGAAACAATTAAAGTTGAGAAGGGAACAACAGCTAAAATATACCAGAAAGCACCACACATCATTAAGATAAAGGTAGGAAGATTGGCAGTTTGCAGGAGGGTTAACAAATAGATTAAAATTTGCCCAAGCTAATCAGTTATCAGAGAAATGTAAATGAAAGCAACAGCTATTCTTCGTAGGAGAAGCATTAGAAAGTAGGATAAGGCCAAGTGTTGGCAGAAGGCAGGGAACAAGCCTCCCTGTGTGCTGCAGGTGGGGACGGAGACAGGCACAGACATTCTGGAGAGCCAGCCAGTACTTCTTCCTCAAATAAAATATTTTATACCTGTGGCCCAGCAGTTTCCCTCCTGAGTAAACATGCTGGAGCAGTTCTCACCCAGAACAACGAGAGGCTGTGTGTGTGCATGCTCAGGGCAGCATGGACGATGGGGGTGGGCAGTTGGAGCTGGTCACTGTGGTTAGGAGCAGGGGACTAGATGTACACTTCACGAGATAGAGACGTGTGGAAACACAGTGCTGAGTGACACAAATGCCAAACAGAATGAGTGCCTCAGTACATGACTGTGTATTTAAATTAAAATTACACACCACCCAGACATGCAGTACTAGGGAGTGCTCGTGAGTGCACACACACACAATGATATAAATAAATTACCCTGGAGCAGCTGTTTGTGCAAGGAGGGGAGCAAGGATAGAGGATAGAGATGAAGTGGAAAAGCATGGAGAGGAAGAGAGAGGTGCCTTTATGCAGACCCTTACAGGGTGATGGTGTTTCATAGGCTGAGGGCTGTGATCAACTCTGTGCAGAGTCCCAAAAGCCAAGAATGAACGAATGAATGTGCGTCCATGAGTCTCCTGCCAGATACCCTCTAATGACTTCTATTTCTAGGAAATAAAATTCAAATTCCATCAGGTTTTTACAAGATCTGCCCTGCTTACCTCTCTGACCACTGTCCTCCCTCACTGAGCTTTGGCTCTGCCAGCCTTCTTCTTCTTTGTTAAATCTGCCAAGTATCCCTCCTACCCCAGGGCCTTCACCACCTCTGCCTGGCTTGTCCTTTCTGGTGATCTTCCCTTGACAATTCCTTCTTATTATTTAAATCTCACAGGAAATTTTGGTCTGACCTGCCATATCTGTCATCCCCTTTAGTCACTCACTAGCTGAGGACTACATTTCAAGTCTCTGCAAAGCACAGGCTATGCTTTTCTAGTTTCTTAGGCATCTACTTATTTGTTGGCTGCCTATCTCTTCCACCGGAAGGGAGGCCCCAAGAGAGCATATGTGTCTTCTGTATAGGGTCCGCACGTGGTGGGTGTGTCACAGATTTCTGTTGAATGGTTTCATTCATTTATTGAATGAATGAAGAGGTCAGGCCAGGAAAGTGTGCATCCATTTTGACAACTCAGTGAGAAAGCAAATAGCATGTCAAAATCTGACCCCTTACAACCAGGGTTTCTTAGCCAACCACACTGGTAATGCTTGGGACAGGATGTATCTTTGTTGTAAGGGGCTGTCATTTATATTGTAAGATATTTAGTATCCTGCCTGGTCTTTACCTAGTAGATATTAGTAATCCTCCCATAGTTGTGATAGCCAAAAATGTCTCCAGACATTGCCATATGTCCCCTGGGGGGCACCCCAGATGACAACCACGTCCTTAGACCAGCTCTTGGGACTGGGATGGTATCTCTGCTCTGGCTCTTTAAATGCAGCAGGCCCTGGCTTGCATCCTGCCACTTCTAACACCCATAGCCTCACTACCTCTGTGAGAAAGACCCCGTCCCAGGCCTGGCCAATCAGAGTACCCTCTTCCCTGGTCAGCAGTATAATTTGAGTTTGGCAAGTATTTCCAGTCCCACAACCTATGGGCTGCCACCCAGGGGTTTAGTTGGAACTACGTTTCAGCTGCAGTCCCTCAGCCGTCTATAGCATGGGCACCTGTGGCTTGACCAAGTTGGAGGTGGCCTAGAGAGGCCAGGCTGGGCCTGCTCACCTTCTCCAGTTAGTGCAGACTGATGAATGAGTGGTTCTCAGCGGATACTGGATCCAGGTTTGCAGTACACTCCAGGAGGAGGACGAGAAAGGTTTCCCTCAGAGCAGGCCTGGATGGGAGGGCAAGGAGTGGCCTCTAATACTGCCTTTCCTTCTGGTGCCTCTATCAGCCTGTGCCATGCTCCTCTGAACTGACCGGCCCCAGCATGTCTAGGTTACTGGCAAGAGCCTGGATAACCCAGGGTTCCAGTCAGACCATCCAGGAAGGCCCATGAGGCTGGAGCGCACCCAGTCTCTGGCAGTTCTGTCTGCGGAACTAAAAGCCTTTCTCCCAGAGCCTTTCCTACGGCTGGGCGAGGCTCTTGTTTGCAATTTAAATGGAGCCTCATTTATGGAAGAATCCCTGCTCCTCCGAAAAGCCTTGGGCTCAACCTCCCTAGCTGCCCGGGCCTCAGCCAGGAGAAGAAATGGATCTAAAAGGCCTTTCTCCTGCTAATTGTAGCAATTAGCATTAGAGAATGGGGACTCGATGGGGGGCCACTGCCTAGCAAAACAAGCTTATTCCCAGCTTAGGCCCAGGCCCAGCTCCACACACTGCTGCTTGGCCAGACTCGGCCCCCACCCAGGGTCTGGCTGGCTTCAGGGCAGGGAGAGAGGGCCCAGGCCTGCGGGTGCTAAGAGCAGTTGTGGAGGGCGTGCATCTGAGTTGTTAAGACAGGTGGCCATACAGGTAGCCCTGGGCTATGACTTGTGGTCCTCTCAGAAAAGGGCCTGACTGGAATGCAGAGCCAGACCAGATATTCATGAGCGGATCATAGAGTATAGACTGAGGGCTATCTGGTGATATGACAGAAAGTAGTCTTGCAGCAAATGACTCTTAAGATTGAGTAAGGAGCCATTCCCCTCTATGGCTAACTGGAAGCCTTTCTCTCCCCCTACTCCAGAAAGGACTTCCTGTTCCTTCACTGAGTGTGCTTGCTTATGAGGCTTCTGGGAACCAGGAGAGTTCAGTGGGCCTCATTATTGAGCATATGGGCACCACAACCTGCTTGTGACATAGGCCATGCTACAGTTGATTTTAGCCAGCTTGCTGCATCTACACAGCACAGTGCCTTCCCAGGCAGTGAATTATGTCTGACAGGCAGGGGAAATGATCATTGCCTCATTTTAGGGATGCAGTCATTCAAGAAATATTTGTCAAACACTCACCAGGTACTAGACCCTGGCCCAGCGGGAGGGATTTGATAGGAGCAGGGACCTGCCTGCCCTCTGAGGGTTTGTGGACAAAGGGGAGAAAGACTAATGTTGAAGGACCATTTGCACCCTGAGGGGAGTGTTGAGGCCTGAGAGCACAGAAGGTGTATAGCAGGAACCCACTGGAACTAGCCTGGGGTCTGAGAAACTCCCCTGGGGAGAGTGGCAGGGGCAGGCCAAGGGCCCTCTGGTGGTAGGGAGCCCGTGAGCACCTGGGATGGAAAGAAGCCAAGAATCTGAACTACCAGAAAGGCAGCTGCAGGATTAAGCAAGACCCACAGGTCTCTAAACTTTGAAAGGATTTCTGTCCACTGAGTAGATAATTGATTGGAATGGGGCAGGGAATGTGAGAACGCCAATTAGGAGGTGCCTGCAGTACAGAGAAACGGTGGCCTACCAGGGCAGTGGCAATATGGATGGAGGGAAGCAGGGAACCTCTAGAACTATGGATGGGTGAAGTAAGCCTGGCTTGGTGATGGACTTGATGCGGGTGGTGAGGAAGGGGGTGTATCAGAAATGACCCCAGAGCTTCTGGCTTGTGCCACTGAAAGGGTGGGTGACAGACAGGGACCTTCAGTAGACTGGGGTATAAAATGATGGAGGCTGTGGAGAGGAGGTGGGGGCAGGTGACTGAAATGTGGGGTGGGTCTGGCTGGGTTATAGAGACATTTTGGGGGAGTCAGGGCCTCACAGGTGGTCCGGAAGCCCTTGGTGCTGAGGGAACAGCTTACGGAAATGGTTTGCATAGAGAAAGGCACTGGCATTTAGTGGCTATGCCAGGAGGGAGAACCTGCCAAGGAGACTGAGCATAGAGCCAGAGAGATGGCAAGAAAGCCAGGAGAACTGGGAAAGAGGGATGGAAAAGAGGACCTAGGGGTAATGGTCCTGGCAGAGGTCACATTGGATCCAGTGCTTGTGATTCTCTGATTGCTGGCGGTGGATGGCCACTGGCCTGCAAATTGCCCTAGTGGAATGTTCCCTGCCTTTGTGCCTCCCTATGGGCTGCCTTTCCCCTGGACAGATGGGGAGAGACCCTCTTCCCCACCTGGTTCTCTGTTTCACCCTTGGAACTGTGGCAGTAAAGAGGACCTCTCCACAGTACATGCAGGGAACAAGCTGGGTTGACTCCCTCAGGGAGGCCTCGTCCTTCCTGAGGTATTTTATAACCTCGAAAGGATAGAGAAATCCCCCCAACTTTAATACAAAGCCAAGCAAGCTGAAAAATGGCCTTGAATAGGCTGAGATGAAAAAACAAAGAGGCTGTCAACATCAGGACTCAGTGGGGGCAGGGAGCTTCAGTGGACTGCCCACAGAGGCCTGAGCCAAAGATGTCAGGATGGGTGGTCACTGTAAGGGCAGTGGATCGCAGCTCTTTTTCTTGTCATCTCTCCTTCCTGATTAGCAGCTCAAACACCCTTCCGAGACTCAAGGGGTTAACTGCAGATCCTCTAACTCCTCCACTTGCTAATTTTTAAACACAGCTGAGCTCTGAGCACCCCTCCCAAGGCTGTGAGAGGCCAGAGGCCAGCACAGACTCTGCACCAGGTCTGCACAGCCTCCACCCCAAGTGTTGTCAGGAATCTGCAGGCATCTAGAACAAAGGTGCCTCCATTATTTCCCTCACCCAGCATATCCTGATACCTGAACTAAGACTTCATCTAGAGCTTTTGCCCACTTCATTGATGGTCTGGTCGGCTTTTGTTGACACATATCCGTGACTCCCAAATGAACCTTTAAGGTTGGCTTAAAGCAGCTGGGACCTACACATGACAAAACCCAGCTGGAAACAGTGGCTTACACTTCTGTGCCCCCAAAGATACCTGCTCCTAACAGTGGGAGTGCCAAAGCCTGGAAGCTGGAAGCCAAGGAGACAGGGAGCTCCCTCCTGCTGACCCCCTGCCAGGCCATATCCACCTAAGGGGTTTGGGATCATACTCCATCTTCAACCACTGGGATCAAATGGAAACCCCTTAGGAATTCTGAGAGACAGCCCTTATACCTATGTGCACTGACACACATACACTGACAAATATGCATTCTGACACATATATGAACATGCACATACATTTGCCTCACTCCCTGCCAGGAGGTGGGTTCTGTCCCATCTTTGACATGTTACTTCTTGTTCTTCCCTAGGCCCACCTTCTTTGTGATGGGCGCTGAGACCCCCTCACTGGGTCCAGTGGCTGTTCCCAGGACCCAGCCTCTGTTCTTATCTTACCCAACTGTAGTTCCTAGGACCCCAGCTTTTCTCAGGGAGAGAGATAGAGCTCTTTTGGTCTGGCATATGTTCCATGCCAAGTAGTTGAGACAGCAGCCACAGGGCAGCCTCAGACTTGATATCATTTAATCCTTGTAACATTCCTACAGGGAGGAAGACACTACACACACGTGCAGATGCAGCAAAGAGCAGCTCAGCCACATGGAATGACTTGCTTGAGGTCACCGGACACTTGACACAACAGAGTTTAGCCCAGTCTCTGGAGAGACCAGCCCTCCACATCCTGTCATGCTGGAGAGGGCTGCCAGCTTTTGTCCCTGCTCCCCTAGTTCTAACCCCGGAAGAGTGATTGTCCCTGCTCTGCCTTCAACCCAGACAGAAGCAGGCTAGAAGAGGGGAGGAGAGGCAGGGCTGCCCCTTGGAAGGCTCACCTTCCTCACCAGTTCTCTGCTTGGACAAAGGTCTTCCAAGCAGCCAGGTTCTGAGGCTAGTCACTGTCATCATTGGGTGAGGCAGCCTAGGAGTACCAGAGGTTGGAGCAGTTGGGAACCTTCCCCAGGGAAGGGGCTGGATAGGCAGGGGTGGGTGCTCAGTGGCAGGCCACAACTAGGCACCTGGGAGGGCCAAGCACCACACTGAGAATGCAGTGCTTCCCCTCCCCTCCTGGGCTGCTCAGGAACCAAATACCACCCATCAGCCTTCTGTAAACAAATGAGACTAAGTCTCTGGCACTCTTGGCCCAAGTGCAAAGGGCAGCTGCCCCTGCAGCTACTCACTCTGTCCTGGCCCTCTCAGGAGGCTATGTGACCTCTGCACCTGCTGGCTTGTTTTGTTCCTAAAATACGTGGATGCTTGAGAACCTAGAAGATACCACTGCTAACAGATTTCCACATCATTCATTCTGTTCTTCCTGTGCAAGTCTAGTGCTGGGACAAGGACCATAAAACAAGGTGACCCAAAACTTTTAGCAGAATGCAGGTAGGCAGGACAGAGGTCTCTGGGAGTGTCATTCCAAGGCAGTGTCTTCCTCCTCCCCTGTGCTCCCCATTTCCCAAGAGTGGGCTTCCTCCACCCCACTCAGGCACCTCTTCCCAAGGCTGACCTAAAGGCCTCAAGCTCTGCGGATAGGGGCAGTCCTGAGGTAGCACTGAATCTTAGGGTTGGAGTGGGAGATATCTGTGCAAAGGCTGCTAGGAACGTCCCCCAAGGACTGACTTCAAAGCTTGGCCTAAACCACTGCATCAAAGTCAGCAAGCTGAGCTGTTTGCACAGAAAAGGAGGAGGGGCAGGCCCTTGAGCCACCTGTAGCTCTCCTTAGGGTCTCAGGCCTTCGCACCAGAGCAGGCCTCGGGCCAGACCACCCAACTTCTAGGCCAGATGTGCCACTGGGGAGGAGGAGGACTGCCCCTCAAAACACTGCAGCCCAGGACTCCAGGATTCCAACCCAGGGACCTGAAGGCTCCCCTGCTCTCCGGATCAGACCCCTACTCTCAGAGCCATAGGCCCAGTGGGGGACAGCCTGTGAGAGAGGCCTGTGTGGGGTGGCCCTAGCCCCACCTCTGCTTCCAACCTGACCTTGCTACATGACCTCTGGCCCAGCCCTCTCCACCTGGAGTGCCATCTCTCTTTGTGGGGTGGGCCAGGTGGGCTGTGTGTGGGGGAGGGCAAGTATATAGGTATGATATAGGTGGACACTGCCACAGTACCCAATAGCAGTTCAGAGCCAGGCCACCCAATTTGTATGCCAGCCCCAGCTGGGCTTAGGCACATGGTGTGTGGAAATAAACAAAATAGGCAGCCCTAGGGTCAGGAGGCAGGTCCAGAGCTCACCCAGGTGCAGCCCAAGATGAGTGCCTGGCTTCAGTGAGCGAGCACTGGCTGCTATTGCTGCTGTGGTGTGGAACCCTGACACCAGGGCCACTGGCCTGGCTGTGTGACCTCTACCTCAATACCCAGAGCGGGGCAACCAGAGGCAGAGTCTCAGTGTGGTGTTCTCCTGTGAAATAGTGATGGCACAGGCAGGGGCTAGGGCCCAGTGCCTGCATGGAGGATCAACAAAGGATGGCAATTATTGAAACCTCTATGGGGAAGTTCCCCAGACACCAGAGGAAGACCCCCGTGGAGGCCATGTGTGTGACGTGCTTAGATTTTCCAGAGTCTTCATTTTCCTTGTCTAAACAGAGGTCATGGCGCCTCCTTCTCAGATCAAACAGCCCTGTATGAGTGGCTACAACCTTTGGTGGGCTCAGGGCAGCCCCTCCTGCCCCCTTGCTTAGGAGCCGTCTGCAGAGGCCTAGGGAGCTGCGTGGGGTCTTTCCACCTCAGCCTCTCTCCCCACCCCCACCAGGTCCCCTGCCTGACTCCCCTGCCTTCTAGCATACCCAGGCCCTAGAAGCACCAACTCCACGGCTGCAGCTGAGTGGAGTGTGTGCCTGCCCAAGCCTAGAGGGGTACTGACCCCTCCCTCGCACGAGGAGACATCAAAGGGAAGCAGGAAGCAGCGGCCTGGCTGACCCACAGCAGGTGGGAGAAGTGCAGCCTCACAACTGCTGGGGATTTTCCATCCCACCAGGATTTCCGCGGGACACCCCAAGTCCAGCCTTTGAGGCTCCTCAGGAACCAGGGTTTGGCCTGGAGCCAGCTGGGGCAGAGGAGGGGGCCAGGCTGGGTGGTTTAGGGGTGTGGTTAGGCCTGCTAGGGGGCTCCTCTTCTGAGTCTCCCCATGATTTGCTGGTTACTGGTTGAAATCTGAGCCCAGACCCATTCCAACACTGAACCCTGAGGTCCCTGAGACCTAGCTGGCAAGGACAGGTCCCAGTTTTTACAGGGGCCTGAGAGGAATGAAGAAGGGATCTCCACCCCTTCCCTTCTCAGTCACACCTCCTTGACAGGGGGTCATCAGAGTGGGCTGTGGTAGGTGCACCAGGGAAGGGACCATACAGAGGAGGCTAGTCTCAAATCCTAGGGTGCCTGGGATGGCCCTATTGAAATGCAGGAGCTCCTGTGCAGACAGGGATCTGTATGGACAGCTGGGTGGACACAGGTGCCTGCTGACCTCCCAGATCCTTCAGCAGAGCTCAGCCCTGAGTGACAGCCCAAGGCAGGCCTGGCTACCTCAGCCTCTGGCTCACAGCCCTCAGCCAGAGCCCTGAGAGGCCTGGGATCTCAAAGCTGCAAGGTGAGAGGCCAGGGGAGAGAAGCCCGAAGCTGGTAGTGATGCTGGCTAAGTGAAAATTGCACCTGTCCCAGCACTGTGATGCTCCCTATCCAGCCTGGGCTTTTGGCAGCCTTCTGTGCTTTGTGGAGGAAGCTGGCTCAGATTCCCCACCTCCCTGTGCAGTTTGTGTGTCAAGGTGTACTTGTCACACCCAACTCAGGGTGTCTTGCATCACTTCCTGGGTCATTGTCCCCAAGAGCTGGGACTGCTGAGTTTTGGCCCTAAGCTCTTGCTTCCATCTTAGCAAGTCAGGGCCCAGCGTTGTCCTTGCCTTTGTGCATCAGGATGGTAAGCTGGGCATGCTCTGCATCACAGAGACCTGCATGGACCTGGATTGGGTTGCCTCTATCTTCAGGCTGGTCACTGGGCAGACACAAACCAGGGCCTCTGGTCAGAGGGGACAATGGCTTTGATACTTTTGCTACTCTTTAGGGGTGAGCAGGGGCTGCTTGTGCATCGTAGTGCATTATAGGGGATGCACATTTACAGTTGAAAGCTACTGGTCCTGAGTAGAAGTGGGGCTGAGTAGGACTTCCCAGCCTTGAACATGGGGTTGTCATCCAACTGGGACCCACATTTGATCCAGCAGCCATGCTCTGTGCAACCTAGGCCTGAGAGTAGCCATGTTCATGTGAAAAATGCTAGTAGCAAAGCTGTCATTCTGGTCACCACAGCTGTCCTTGCAGGAGCACATTGCCCAGGGCTGGGAGCTGTCATTTCCGTGACAGGAGTGAGACGCAACAGTGGGTGAGGGTGGGGGTATCTGTTGGGAATTATTTCAAAACAATTGTGGAAACTTGGCAGTGGAGGGGCTCTGGGCATAGGTATCCATAATATCCTAGTCAGGGGTTGGGGTACCCTGGCTCTGCTGATAAGCCCAAGTGAACATGCTCCTCCCCCAGCTTGGAACAGGTGGAATGGGCCAGGTGACACTCAGTGTAGTCTGTGGTCTGGCCTCCCAGGCCAGTGGCAGTACTGGGGTGGCAGACATTTGCTGTGTACTATCCCAAGGCCTGAAGGTCACACAGCTAGGTTGGAGCAGGGTTTTGGGCAGGATGAATAGGCATTGCTGTGCTCTCAGAAAGGCAAAGCAAACCCCAGAAGCAAGGGGGTGAGACAGGGCAAAGGCCTACGCTTTGCCATCAACTCAGGCCTACTCAAGGCTGGCCCTGTCCCTCCCCTGCCCTTGCCCTGCCAGATGGTGTGAGGTGGAGGGGCTTAGAGTGAGCCCCGCTGACTCTCCTTGGTGTGGAGACTTGTGTGGTGTGTACAGGCCTCACCCGTGTGACCCAGCAGGAGAATGGGAGAGTGGGCCCAGAACTTGGTCAGGCTCATCTGTGGAGAACAAGTTCTTCCCTAGTCCAGTTGTGGTCTGAGTCCTGGGTGAAGCAGGAGGCATCCTGGGAAACAGGCTTGTTCTAGTAGGAATCCCATTCTCAGGAAGGCTGTGCGGGGCCCTTTCTCACTGCCATCTGGGAGGATGCCTGCCTGCTGGCCATTTGGGCAGACTGTCAGAGCACCCTCCCTGGGGTCCCAGACCAAAGGCCTGAAGTCCACATGGGGCCCCTGAACTTCTGGTGCCTGTGTGGGCTTGTCCTCTCAACCCCGAGTGGAATGGCAACAGCCAGCTGCAACCCTCCTAGCTTCCTGTCACTTGCTATATGGAAGGGCCAAGAGCTATAGTCATCTGCAGATCCTCCCACTGCACCTATGGGACTAGCATCTCCTGTCTGGATGTGAGCAACTTGCTGGTGGCCTGTGAGGTGGGAGGTGCACTGGGCTTCCGGATAAGGGTTTCTTGTTCAGGTGACAACTCTATGTGAAGGAGACCCATGGACACGCATCTATCCCCTGCCCATGTACCAGGCAGAGATGTGGGTGAACTCTTCCATGACATGGCAGGGTCCCTGAAACATCAGACAGATCAATACTCTGTGTGCATGTTTGTGGGCAAGACACAGTGGTGGCATGTGTGCCATGGAGTTTGGTAATGGGAGGACTGAAGTAGTGCCTCTGTGTGTGAGCTGTGCCAGCCATCCCCACGAAGGGGGCATTCCATGTAGATGGGGATCCTCTCTAGGCAACCTCTTCCACACCTGATTAGCTCTGGCCATCAGACTCCTCATGCCAAAAGGGACCCTTCCCTGGAATCTGTAATTCTCACAGGCTGTCCCATACATTTTAAATCCAGGAAATGTGCTCACCCATGAGACAGGGATGGTGGAAAGGTATGAATGAAAAGCAGCCAGTCCTTAAAATTGGAAGCCATTTCACTCCTTACCAGGTACAAAGATAACATGCTGCGTGGATCAGGAACACAAACTAACCTACCTTATGATGTAGTGAAAGAATCTGTAAAACTTTTATCTCAGCATACTCCCTGGAGGAAGCCAAGCACAGGAGGCCTTGACTAGGAGACCTCAAGCCTTGGCATGTGCCTAGACCAGTGGGGAGGGAAGGCTGGGAGGCAGTCCTCCCTTACCCCTTTTCTCCCAGGCAGACCTGCCCTGGGTTCTCCCCAGGCCTCTCAGGCCGAGCAAGTGCTCAGTTGGCCACTAGCTCCCTGCAAGTCCAGCAAGTCTTTCTTTCCTGTTCCTTCTTCAAGGAAGGCTTAGCCTCAACTCCAGGGCCACAGACAAAGGACAGTCACTCTCCTCTGCCAGAAAGTCATTTATGGGACATGGAGAAAGCATCAAATATATTGCTTTTCCAACACCTAAGAGTGGAATAGGAGGAATGAAAGGGGAAATCAGCCAGAAAGTTCTGGATCATAGTCTTTTTGCCAAAATAACATGTTTTCAAATGAAAGAGGATGGTCCTGGGGCACTGAGGAATCAGGGGGATAGACCCCACTGGAGCTTGTCTCATGCTGGCAGCAAGTCCCAGGCCTCAAACACATACCTGGGCTGCCTCAGGAGAGAGACTGCAGGGAAGAAATGAGTTGCAATGCTCCAGCCTAACCAACTCCCCTTTTGTTACTTAATCCAATCCCAGAAGGTACTGGGTAGGGTCAATTAACAAATAGCTGCCTGTCTCCTGGCAGAGTCTGACCAAGGCCCAATGGGCGCTTCTCTTCCTAAATCCTCTGGTGTACCCCATTCTTCAAGGGAAACAGTCCCCTTAAGATTCTATGTGAAAGGGTTCTGAAATCACTGTACCAGTTAATGAATTATTTACTCTAAACAATGACTTGATAAAGGGAGAGGATGAAGTTAGCTGGTGTTGACTAAGGAGAGACAGAGTTGCCAGGGAAATTCTTCTAAATGAAAAAATAAGAAAAAGCAGTCATCCAGTTTTGTCTGACAGTGAAACGTGTCACAGAGCATGCACCTTTGGCCATCTTTTGCATTTGTGATTTGGAAGAGAGAGGCAGCAGTGAGTGTGGGGCCAGGGAGAGGAATCCAACAAAGCTGTTCTGTGAGGCAGTGGCTGGGATTTTGGGGTGTAGAGTAAGGGCAGCCAGTCTTAGAGGCCCATGTCATCTGGGCTGCCTCAGAGCTAAAGCTAGGTAACCAGAGGGAGTAAGGAAAGGCCTGAGTCCCAGGCTAGGCTTTTCACAGTTGTATTGAGATGGGAAAGTAAGGGATGCTCCTTGCAGCAGATGCAGGGCCCAGTTGGCTAGAGTAGTATTTGAAATGAGTTGGCATTTCAGGGCAGTGTTTGTGATGCCAGTCAGTAGGTAGAGGCTTCTACCTCTTTTTAAAGTCTTGCTCTATGTTATAATCTCTACTTCTTCTCAGAAGTTTGAAATGTTTACTCTGAACTAAGCTCTATGCTTTAACAAGTTATGTTTTAATAGGAAAACCGTCATTGATGGAATCATATGTAATTCCTACATTTTTCCAGTTACCCATTCCTAGGGAAAGCTTAGCCATTGGACAAACCAGCCAGAGCCCCAGGAACCTACATTTGCAGACAGCAGTGGCAGGCATAGTGGCCTAGTGTTGGATGGGGGAAACCTGGCCTCTATGTGTCTGGTTTTGCAAACTAAAATGCCATTGCCCATACTCAGGCTGACAGGTCCTGGAGGGCCGTTGACTCCTGCTCTGTATCTCACCTCTAGTTCCGTCACAGTGCATGAGCTGTCAGTAGGAGCCTTTTAATGCAGATGCTAATACCTATTCTTAATGCTAGCCCATCCCCACACCTCCTGAATTGGTGAGATATATCCTGGGAACAAGAGAATCTGAAAGCTCCTGGTCCTCAGGCTAGCAAGAGCCTTGCCTGTAAGAAGTGGGAGAAGATCACCTCTCTCAGGAGGCAGAACTAAGGCTGCACAGCACAAGAGAGATGTCTGACCACACAGTCTGGGTGGCAGAAGGACTCCTGTCCTTTTTTCCACAGAGACCTGAGTACCTCTCCAGGTGCCACCATTTTCTGTCTGGGAACATCTGCTATCACCAAGCCTCAGTTTCCTGCTCTACAAAACTGAGATGGTCTTTTCTATACAAGGCCCCAGGAGGATCACTGCAAGTCACTGCATTTCATGGTGCCCGGATTTCCCTGCATTTCTAGAATGTTAACAGAGATAAGTGGGCTCCAGGGGAAGAGATTCTTTATGACTAGAGACATTCTGGTCGACTTTGGACCCCAGATTCTATGGACAATAGCATATGGACATGAGCTCTGGGGAAGTAGGGATGACTGAGCCTGAAGAAGAGCTCTCAAGCCTTACACTCTCCAGACCAGCCTTGGGTTGCCTGAATCCCAGCATAGCCTCATGGAACCCCTGCCTGGGTCCTAGCACCTAGTTTGACCTGGGCACAAGTACTCACTCACTCACTCACCAAACATTCACGGAGTGTCCGTGACAGGCTCCCTATGGATTAAGCACTGAAGATAAAACACTGAACAAAAACAGCCAGCCTATACCCTCATGGGTCTTGAATGTGATCGAAGGAGCCAGCCAGTAAACCCTTTACCACAAGTAAACACACAGTTACACATTAAGAATGGGAGGGGAGGTTTGTGACTTTTTACAGCCCAGTCTTAAGCTTTAGAAATCGGCTCCTCTGAGGAAGGGACATTTCAGCTAAGACCCACAGGATAAGACAGTCCTAGCCTGGGGAAAGGGAGAGAAGGTCAGGAGAGAGCTTGGTATGTTTAATACTGAAAGAATATTTGATGAGCTGGGACATCTCCTGCAGATCCACGGCTCCCTAGCTTTGTGACCCTGGGCCCTAGACTTAATCCCTCAACCCTGAGGAGATTATCTATAAAACAGGAATGATAATATTCTTGTGTTAAAAGCTGCTGTGAGGATTAGTGAAATGATGTCTATATTTGCCTGGCAAACAGGAAGTGTAAGTAGTAGTATCATTTGAAGATTATTCTTCAGCCTAAAGGTGTGTTCGTTATGGCTGGCGGGTTTTCTCCCCACCTAGATGGTAGTGCTGGGCCTCCTTTAGAGTATCTTGATGCTTGTGGAGCATGGATGATATGACCATAACCTGAGAAAGCAAGGACTGTATCCACTTTGGTCCTCCCAGGTCCCAGGGCCGCCACAGTGCCCTGGTATGTGGTCAGTGCCCACAAATACTGAATAAAGGAACAGACACATGAGAAGCAACAGCAATTGCCTGGTCTTTAAAGGTGAGGGAGCACCCTCTCCTGAGAGAGGGAGAGATAGGTGGGGGGAGGTTGGGTGGGGGTAGGGAGAGATGGCAAGCGAGCGAGCAGGCTAGAAACTTCCTGAAAAGGGAAGTTACTCTAGAAAAGGGTAAGTTCCTTCCAGGTATGGGCTGGCTTAACCTGGACCAGTTTGACTTTACTAAGTCCCATTTCTCATCTAGGGAACCTGAGGCCATTAAGGTTATCTGGTCCCAAAATCCCCTGGAGCTGTCACAGGGATCCCCATTCTTTGCCTTTAGTCACTCCAGCCCCAAGAGCCATCTTCCACATGGAGTGAGCAGGGAGCTACAAGGAAAAGACGGGTCACAGTTGGAGAGAGAGACAGAGAGAACCAGGTGGGCTGGTAGGACAGGAAGATATAGGGAGAAAGTGAAGCTCTCTCGGGGAGGCAGGAATACTTCTACCTGGCTTCCTTCTACCCACTCTTCATAGAACACAAACACTGTAAGAATGACTTTTTCCAAACCCTCTTAGCATTCAGAAGTAGAATTGCTGTATAAGAATTTTTTCGTAGGTGCTTTTTTGGCGTCGGGAGGGGGGAGCATTTATTTAAAAAATAACCGCATCATTAGTGAAATCTTCCAAAGTCTCTTTTTGGAGCCCAAATTGCACTAATGTCCACATCTGAGGAGGCTATCATAATAAAAGAACACATACCTATTTCACCTATGATGGTTAGTGCAATCTTGAAAGCACTAGTAAATAGGGTCCATCAGCTTTAAAAATACAAACCCAAATTGAGTCATACCAAAATGCAAGGCTACACACAATAACCTGGGTGAATCTTCAGGGAATTGTGCTGAGTGAAAAGAGCCTATCCCAAATAGGTAATTTGCTGTGTGGTTCCATGTATGTAATATTCTTGGAATGATAAAGAAATGAAGAATAGGTTAGTAGTTGCCAGTGGCTACGGACAGGGTGGGGTGGGAGGGAATTGGGGGTGGCTATAAAAGGGGGACATGAGGGATTCTTGAAGAGTTAGAAATGTCTTGTAGTGAGACTTATCAATGCAATATCCTGGTAAGAATTTTGTACTACGGTTTTGCAAGATGTTACCATCGGGGGAAACTAGGTAAAGGAGTACGTAGGATTTCTCTATGTTGTTTCTTAGACTTGCATGTGAAATCTACAATTATCTCAAAAGTTTATTTAAAAAAAACCCAAATTAAAAAAAAAATCAATAGTCCTCCTAAAAATACCCAGAAATGAATTTTAGAATGTCCAAAATCCATACAAAAATCTAAAAAATATGGAAGGATGTTGCCATGGATTTGAACATGTGGGTAAACTGCTTCTATTTGTGGCTGGAAAGACTTTTTTTTGAAGTGGGGGGAAGGCAGTTCTTCCTAAGTTAATTTAAATTGAACAGAGTTTCAATAACAAATGCCACTGGGATATGGATATACACACAGATAGACAACTTTTTTTTTTAATTAGGCAAGCTGAGGCCGTGGGTGGTGGCTCACGCCTGCAGTCCCAGCACTTTGAGAGGCCGAGGCCGGCAGATCACTTGAGGTCAGGAGTTTGAGACCAGCCTGGCCTACATAGTGAAACCCTGTCTCTAATTAAAAAAAAAAAAAAAAAAAAAAAAAAAAAGCCAGGCATGGTGGCAGATGTCTGTAGTCCCAGCTACTAGGGAGGCTAAGGCAGGAGAATTGCTTGAACCTGGGAGGCAGAGGTTGCAGTGAGCCGAGATTGCGCCACTGCACTCCAGCCTAGGTGACAGAGTGAGACTCTGCCTTAAAAAAAAAAAAAAAATTAAGGGAGCTGGTTCTAAGTTTATATGAAAGAAAAAAAAAAAAAATGCATGTCCTGTAAAATTCAGAAGTAGCAGCAGTCTGGCCCCTTGTGCTCCTCTAGCACCCGTCTGGCCTAACAGGCCCTAGTGTGCAGCAGGGACCATTTTCCTATCACTGTCTACAGCATCTGGATAAGAATGGAGAGAAAGGCAGATTTCAAAAAATCTAATCTGGGATCCTATGCATCCTAAATAATCTTATGAGGATGCACTTGTACTTTTTCTGATGCTGATACTATTCATTCCAACTCACCTCCCCATCACCTTTGTCAAGGCACTGTGAATTGCATGGTACACATGATCACAATGGATGGAATGGCCATCATGAGGTATAGCAATACATTTAAGTAACCTTGTGTCACTACTATAGGACAGGCACCTTTCTGCATACTTTACACTATTAATTTGTGTAATCCTCATAACAACCCTGTGAGGAAGGAACTCTTATGATTCCCATTTTACAGGTAAAGAAACTGAGACTGAGGTTAAGTGACTCACTCAAGATGTAGCAGGTAGAAAGTAGTGGACTTAGGATATGAGTTCAGACTCCTAGACCCTGCTCTTAGTTCCTATCTTTGGCTATGGATTAGTAAAGGAGAGCACAGCCAAGGGGGGACAGGCAGCTGTAGTCCTCTGGACCAGATTCACATGTTTGGGGCTGCATTGCTACAGGTGGCCTAACTCAGACATGGAAACTGAGTCGCTGCTGCCCAACTCATGCCATGAAACCATTTTGGCCTGCACAGCTTACAATAGCACTCTAGCTCTAGCTATGGTACTTTATGGTGTTAGTGGGTTTTTTTGGTGGTTGGTATGGAGGAGGGGCTGGGCTACAAGTTTTAGGTTATGTTTCTTATTGTAGGTTTTTAAAAATTCTTGAATTAGGCCTATTTACTCTTTTATTCTCTATTGAGTTAGCAAATTCGGTTTTTCCAAGATGCCCTGAAAAGTATGATCATACATGTATATAAAATGGTCCCTGGGTCCAGCTGGCAACTCCTGTACACCCCCGACCTGGATTCTGCCTTCCGTGAAGTGAGCCTTGAAAGAAACAAGTGCTCATGCTCCCTGACATTATTAGTTGCCAAGATGAAGCCTCAGTCCCAAACACCCCAGCTTCCTGTCTAACTCAAGAGCTAATCCTGTGTTTAAATCTTAAGAGTGTTTAGATCTTAGGCCATGCCATGAATTCCCCTGGTTGACTGCATTGTGAAAATGAGCTTCCTATTATTGGCTCTTAAGCAATGGAGATGAGGGGGAGTCCTGCTACACAGATAAGTGCATCATAAAGTTACATAATTAAAATAACTGAGTTCTGGCCTATCAACAGACCCATCAGCAGTCCAGAATAGAGTCTAGAAATGGACACAAATTAAATGAGAGTTTGAAATATGATAAAGGTAGCAGTTGAAATTAGTAGAGAGATGATGATATACTCAAATAAATAGTGTTGGGACAACTGGACAAACATGGGAAACTAAATTGGATTTAATTACTATGCCAAAATCCAGATAAAGCAAGGATTTAAATGTAAAAAATGAAATAAAAAATGATAGAAGAAAACATGGAAGAATTTATTAAAACAATTCCAGGATGAGGAGGTTATTTCAAAATTTAAGATAAGAACCTCAAATCATAAAAGACTGACACAGTTGACTATGTGAAATTAAAAAAATTCTGCCACCAAAAAAAATTATAGAAAAAGCCAAAATACCTAAGGAAAATTAGGATAAAATATTTTCAATGAATATGACAAAGCAAGCTTTTTACAAATCAATAAGACAGGATGTTTTACAAAGTCCAAAGGGTATGAAGAGATAGTTCACGAAAAAGAAAAAACAATGATTTTAATCATTTGAAAAGATAAAAACCTCATTTCCAACAAAATAAATGTAAAATAAAGCTCCATTGTACCATTTCTCATCTATGAAATTAATGAAGATAAAAACCTGATTATACACTCGGTAAGGGTGGGGGAAGCAAGTGCATTTGCGCAGTCATAGTGATGTAAATGGTATAGCCCTTATTTGGCAGTATCTATCACAACATAAACGAATATTTTAATCCTGCTGGAAATGGGGGGAAAGGGAGGATCTCTTAAAGTAAATCCACTGAAAATGGAGACCAAAATTTTACAATAGAGATATTTGATTGGGAAGTTATTTTGAAAAATAACAGTAGTTAAAATATTCTTTTATCTCATATGTAGTAACAGTTGTTAAGAGTTACAATTATGTACCCACTTTAGAAAAACACAAATCCAGAGGGGATTTTGGTTTGTCTTTTGTAAAACATTATATGGTAACATCTGAGGGCATCTTTTATACTTGGAGAGGATGTTGGCAGCACTTCCACAGAGAGGATCATTTTTTGTAGAAGTATGGCATGGTTTCACTGCTTGACCAAGAGGCCACCT